AAAAGCCAAAGGTAGTGCAACTAAATACTAGTGATGTATTTTGAATGGTCTTTTGTTTATCTGTTTTTCATGATTCCATACATTTTACATCATGAGCGCCACAAATACAATTTTTAACTTTTTTTATATCATTATTTCTATAAAATACTAGTACTTATATATAATTTTCCTCTTCATAATGGATTCCCAACTTGAACTGCATAAAAATAAATCGAAATAAATCCATGAAGCCGTGCAGCTCCATCAGGTACAGAGTGCTGTGATTTTTGGTAGCAACAGATTGTTATGATGAAGACAAACACACAAAACAAACTTCTGCATACACAACAATGGGATTATGAAAGAATCTCTGTATCCCAGGCGTCCGTCAGGAGCAACGTTAAAACTTTAAATAGATCACAGAACGTTGGACTTTACACCAGTCTGGTACTTTTTACAGTTTTTTTTTTTTTACAGTTTTTACTCAACCACAGCTCAAGTATTGTAATCCTTTGGAGATTTAGTCAGAAAATGTTCAACTTCTGAGCTGTCTAAACTTTGCAAAAATGTTTCTAAATGAATTGTTTTCACTCTTACAGTCTTAACACTTTTAAAGTTTATACAACAAAACATTTTGTCTTCTTCTACTCTCTGCTGCAGGACTTATAATTTTCTCTAAAACCACTCCAGATTCTCACACCCAAACTCTCATCTCCCATTTTCTCTTTACCCCTGGACATAAAGAGCCTCACATCTTATTTGTCCAACATAGAACTCTGTAGACACATCATTTTACGTTTTCCTTTATGTTTCTTCTACTGTTACATCAAAACATCAACATTCTGTTATCTTAGATTATTACAAAAGGAAATCCTGAATCACATTGGGCTGTAGAGCAGAGAGTTGATGGATGTTGATGTTTTGTTAGCCACTCTTTATAATTCCTCCTCCTCCTGTGTAAAAGAGCTGTGCTTTCTTACAGCTAAAATAAAATAATAGTGTGTGCTGTCAAACTGAAACATACTGTTGAGCATTTCTGGCACAGAAATTTAACAGTTTACTCTCAGCACTTTTCTGCACATTGTAGTGACGAAGCAACGCTGCCAAGTCCTGCAGGAAACGTCTTTTTAATCTGAAACATTTCTCCACAGGAAGAACAGAAGAGCTGAAATCGGATCTAAAAAAAGGCGTTTGAGCATTACCATCTTTTCTTTTCATATTTTTCCTGAAGGAACTCTTTTACTTTTTGTGGTTCTCGGAAATCTGGAACAACTGATGTCCTGTCGTCATAGAGGCCCAACCAGATGTGTTTACAGACCTGTGGGGAGGGAGGGGATTGAGGTGGGGGTGGGCAAAGAAAGGAGGAGGAGGAGAAAGGAATTTCAACATCCGATCCAACAATCCAAGTGAGGCTGGCACATGTGGTGAACCGTACCTCGTTGCTGTGTTTCTGTAGGAACTCGATCTCCTGCTGTGTGAACGTGGTCATGGAGATGGACTTCACTCTGTGGGGGGGGTTCAGACCTCGCCTGTGGGCGCAGGAGCACAACGTCAGAGAAAGAACAAGTCACCCAAGGCTGTTCACGTTCCCAAATTACACTTCAAATGAAATACATGTGTGAAAGAAGCATTTAGTGCAGCTTTGTCTTGTTTGAGAGTTAAAAGACAAAGCTGATCCATGTGATGCAGTTTTATCCTAAATGACCAGACTGCAGGCACGTTTGAGATTACACAAACTTTACACTTTACACAAACTTTAAAACAGAAGGCATTTTGGCGCAAACTACAACCATCTGAAAACAATTACGTCATACTCCACACCTCCTGCCTAACCTTCGACCCCAACGACTACTAAAAAACTGCTTCCGTTTGCATTGCTCATGCTAGTTGCTCAACTATAGCAACTTATCCTAAACTAGAAGCACTCGGAGAGTGCAAACCTCCACCAAGATCAATCCCCCCCCTCCTGTAAGAGTTAATGCACAAAAGCAGAGATGGAAACACATTTGCTGAATAAGTTCTGACATAGCAAACATTTAAGCAGGAAGTATGCATGGAATTTCTTCTCAGTGGAGTCCAATGTGAAAAAAAAAGTCAGACTTGTCACCCGACGTTATTCATCATCAAACTGGTGTCGAATTAAGCTCCTAAGTTTTCATCAGTAACATTTCACCATGTAAAACGTTTGTTTTATCCCCTTGTATGAGTTTGTAATGGTTTAACTGTCTTTATAAAGTGCTTCCTGGCTCCCCCACATCTCTAAACTGTGAGGCCTGGCAGGTCTCTGTTTACAAGTCTTGTAGAGAGAAACTGTTTTGATTGGTTGTTTCAGAAATGTGGTGTGTTTGAGGAAATGGGAACAATAGTTTTCATGGTGCAGTCACCCACTTCCTGGTCACAAAACGTTCTGTAAATGCGCATATTATGTCAAAAATTATTCACTTCAATTCAATTCAAAAATACTTTATTGATCCCAGAAGGAAATTAGGTCATTCATCATTAAATCTGGTTTTAACATTACTTTTATAAAGTTTGAAGTCCGTGCTGTCCAATCCAGCTCACTATTTTTTACAGAAGCCCTGTGAAGGCATCACAGCTTTGCCGATCTCAGAGTGTTAAAAGAAAAAAAATTCCTGTATCCGCATRGTGATCCGGAAGTTCGGAACATCACCAAAATTTAAAGGTGTGTTCCTTGGCCCAGTACCCACATGTGGTGTAAATGTCATGACAATCCGTCAACAAGTTTTTGAGTAATGTTGTCCACAGACAGAACGACAGACATACGAATATGAAAAACATTACCTCGCCCTTAGCGGAGGTGATAACTTACTTTATTATTGAACATCCTCTGGTAACAATAGTAAAAATAAGCGTTTTAATTCTCCATCAATATACACTCACCGGCCACTTTATTAGGTACACCTGTCCAACTGCTCGTTAACACTTAATTTCTAATCAGCCAATCACATGGCGGCAACTCA